ATTCACTTGTCTAAATGCTAACCATTTGGTATATTATTGGAACTGACGGCTATTTGCGATAAGTCTGAACTACGTGTGCCTGCCGTCATTTTGAATACATCTATAATTGGTCGGAAATATAACAAAGCATGTAGTATATATTCTTTTTCTAATTTTTTCATTTACACTGTTTTGTTGCACTTTTGATTTCAATTTAAATATAGTATTCGCATTTTAAATTATCCTTAGAAGTTAAATTATGAGCTATATTCGATAAGTACGTTAACGCATAAAATTATTGACTTTTAATACAGTATAAAGGTATGTATGAAGACAATTAGGCGTTATATGTTTAATTATTTTTGTTACTGAGCTTTCGTCGTTACTCGAAGCAGGCCAATGACTAATTCAGTCTTTTTCGTACAGGTGGAATCGCCATGCCATAACTCTACATGCTATACGCACTCATGCTTCATTCTTTATCGCCACCAAACAGTTTTTAGATAAGTGGCCAACCATATAGTAGGTAGTTTATCAGTTCTTGATAAGCGATACCTCTTTCGCCCTTTTACATCTTCCATATCCTATACAGTTTTATTGCAAAACTTACAAATAAAAAAATTAAATAAAAACAATTCAAAACAATGCAACATGTTGCGTTCGATGCGTGCTTGGCGCCGTGAAACAGTGTTGGAAACTCCATTTGGTGAAAAACAAAAGAATGTGAATACAAATTTAGTTTATTTTAAACAAAAGAGTGACAAAACTTTCTGATATTCGCAGCAATTATTAAGTCTGCTATACACTCGAATTTTTCGAATGGGTTGTGCGCTGGGCTTTGAGACGACGACGAGTGAGAACACTATCCTAGGACTTTTTTCGAAAACCTGTTTTTTCAAAAAATGGCGATTTGAAAAAAACCGGCGCCCATTTACTAATTGAAAAAAAATGGGATTTTCCGGATTTATTTTCTACAATAACACATATGCCGGATTTCTACTAAATACATACATTGCCATTAAAAACCGTGTCCCTTAATGCCTAGTGGAAATTCAGCATTACTGTCACTATCAAAATCAAAATTTGACTTCTAAAAATTGGTAAAACTTTAATTTAGAAATCATTAAGGCAAAATATGTTCGAATTATTTTGGATTACAAGTAAATCAGAAATAAATGAGTGAAAAATTTACACGTAATAGAGTTCACCGCGATTAGATCACTAAAACAACAGTCGTTTGTCGGGAAAAACTTGAGTATTTATGTAGAGCCGACCGTCTCCGGAATTAGAATACACCATCAGCTGGAACAGACCTACTATACAAATATAGCCCATTATAGACAGGCCATTGACCTTCGTCAACTCTCACCCGTTGAATTGTATCGTCGGAGACCAACGCCACCTATCGCAGACGAAGAGCTCTAGTTGCTTCGTGGTGCTCGCGATACTTTGACATAACTCGATTCTGGATATTGCAGCACGTTAAGCTGTCCAGTCCAATTTGAATAAGATGTCTCGACGACACTAACCGCAAGCCCACTCACATCAGCTCATCTCCCTACGGCCCAAACCCGTCGTTTCTGGCATTCTCCTGAGCGACAGGTAGGTTAGATGAGAATGAAGACAACAAGTAGTCGAGTACTAATTTAGACAGAGTTTAGTAAGAATGTTCTAGTTTCATTATCAATAAAATAAATATTTTGAATTTTCAGACCTTGTACATAAACTGGTGAAACTCCGGTTTATTCGATTGTAAAAGTCCGGTTTACTCGTTATTCGAAAAACCGCGTAGAAATATTCGAAAAAATCGGTTGCAATCGGGTCCATCGCCCTCCTAGGAAGCCCATTTAACGTTGACGACGAACCCTCCATCCTGCTTAAAAAAGAAACTCTTCTTCGGCCGGATATAAACGAGCAGTGATACTTCACTACCCAATCTCTTCTTGCCGCTGTGGAAGAAGTGGTTGGATAATTCCGCCCAAGCAGAAATATATTGTAGGACGAAGAGTCACAAGTTGCAGCTGCAGAGAAATACGCTGTATACAAAACCACCCTGCAGACAATAGCTATGCGAGCGACAGTTGAGCTATGCCGGGAAAAGAAGAGTAAAGAGAGACAAGTAAAGAAGTATAAGTTCGGGCGAAACCGAACATTATATCCCCAGCGCACATATTAAATATCGTTTTTTCACCTTTCAATAAACTGCATGATAAGCATGAGTATTTTTCCAAAGAGTTCGATAATATGCTATGATTAATTGAAATAATTGGACCAAGTTTGGGGGAAATCGGTAGGGCGGCTATCTATATACACCTATGTAGTCATAAGTGGGTGGTACCACGCCCATTTAACAAAAATCAATAATCTTGTGTCTTGTTAAGTGATTGTTGTTTGTTGGCGTCTTTAGTTATTCAAAAATCGGAGTTTTCGTGTTTCTGAAATTTACCGTTATATGGTAAGTGGCAGTACTTTTAGTCCGATTTCAAAAATTTTCAACATGTTGCTTTCTTGCGCCAAGGTTGATAAATGTGCCGAGTTTGGTAGGAATTGGTATACCGGTTACCGAGATACAGATATGTAGGCGTAACTGGGCGGTGCCCGCCCATTTTCGAAAAAATTCCCTAAGCACAATTTCCTGCCAAGAGGTCATTGCATATATCTATTTTGAGCAAATTAGCTTAAATAGTTACTAATTTATCGCAGTTTTCATATTTCTGTAAATTACCGTTATATGGGAGGTGGGCGTGGTTCTTGTCTTATTTAAAAAATTTTCAACTGGTTTCTTAGTGAAGCCGAAAGCAATGTTCGCACCGAGTTTGGTGGCGATTGGTAAAGGGACTACAGAGATACAGCATTTTATCATAAGTGGCCGGGGCCACGCCCATTTTCCAAAAATTTCATAACTGTCTTATTTTATGCCGAAATTCTTCTTCGCGTACCAACTTTCCACAATTCGAATCCAGTATTGGCGGGGATACCGAAGTTTTTGCATATTTCGAAAATACCGTTACATGGGAGGTGGGCGTGGTTATTGTCCGATTTTGCCCATTTTCAATCCCAACCTACCTTGGATAAAGGGAAACCTACTTACCAAATTTTGTTGACATATCTTCATTTTTTTCTCAAGTTATCGTGTACACGGACAGATGGACAGACGGACAGACGGAGATACATGGCCTAATCGATTCCTCTTTTCATGCTGAGCATTTATGTATACATTTGTCTATATCTATCTCGATACGTTTTGGCTGTTACAAACAGCCATTATGCGAACAAAGTTATAATACCCTTGTGCACAAGTGCACTCGGGTATAAAAATCGGCAGCATTCAAATGGTTTCATAACCTGGACAAATTTCTGGATTAACGAAGATGGAAATCTAGTAAAAAACGTTCAAAGTAAACTTGAGACATGGAGACGAGGTGAGGCGGCTTAAAAACAACAAAGCTCCGGAGCAGACGGTTTACTGACTGAGCTGTTCAAAGCCGGCAGCGAAGAGTGAGCATATGTATATGTAACAGCTTTTAAGCAGCATTTGGTATGTTGACTTCATGCCCGTTGATTGGAGTATCCAGTGTACTTTGCCCAAACCACAAGAAGGTGGAATAAGCCTTGTTATTATTTCGTACAAGGTCTTATCTACGATACTGAAGCCTTTCATGATCCAAACGATTGGACCTTTCAACCTTCAGCTTCAACTTCAGACCTGAAAAATCCACCATCGACCAGATTTTCACAGTTAACAAATCCTGGAGGAGATACTAGATAAGCAAATCGACATATACCATTTAAGGCCGCTTTTCATAGCACGAAGGGAAGCTGCCTGTATGACGCAATGTCTAATATGGCTTGGTAGGATGACAACCTTCAGCTCCATTTCAATTGGGACGGACATCTCCGCACCGTTTGCGACCAAACAAGGTTTCCGACAAAGCGATTCACACTCGTGGGACTTTTTAATCTTATGCTAGAAAGCCACCAAAAGTTTGTTTTCAGTCCGAGCACTGTCACCAATAAGGTCAATCTGGAGATCAAGCGAAGAATAACCCCTGCCAACAGGTGCTACTTTGCCTTGGTAGCCAATTCGGCACCCATGGTTGGACTATGAAAGCAAGAGCGCCGCGAAAAAAATCGAAGATTCAAGTTCAGAAGGACCTATTATCACTCGGAATGTAGAATGGTTGTAGACCCAAAAAAGAAGAAGGTATACTCGGGGACTTTTGTTTAGTAATTATTAATTTTTTATTCAATGGGGAAAACTTGCAATATAACGATATGATTTTCATTCTTAACGCCGAACGCCAGATCAGAAGTAGTCTGCTAAAGGGGACTATTCTTAGACAACTCATAATCCATCTCAAATGTCAGAGTGACCAGTTTCGACAAAAAAAAATCCAGTTCACTGAAAACGACTTTTAAACAGCCTTTACACGGGTCGATTTTCCAACGAGCCGTGTAAAGACAGCTTTACTACACTGATTAATAACTCAGCTGGATTTGCGATTTTGAAAATATTTGCTTTTCTTTTATTTTCAAAAAATCTCTCATATTTGTAAATGTAAATATTTTCAAACAGACAATCGCTAATCTAAACAAATATTTCAATATGTCGCGAAGTTTATCTTTAATCTTATTGTTTATTGCGCTTTTGTGCCCAGCATATTGCACGCCGGTTTTATTTTGGCAAGCTCAAGTGTAAGTTTTTGCTAAAAAAGTTCAACCAACTAACCAACTTCTGGATACAGTTAGTTACAGTACATACCACTTTTATGCATTTTTTCTGAATAGCACTGCCAAATCAGTATTCCCTAGAGTTGAGCAAGAGGAATTTCTTCAAGAAATAAAAGCCTTAATTGACAGTAACAAAACGATCATCGCATTTACATATGATAAGGTAATCAATCTCGCTAATGCGTGGGGTGCTTAAAACAAAGTTTATTATTACTTACCTCCTCATACCTGGAATTATTATTTATTATTGCAGTATTTGCTTTCAATTTCTTTTGTAGCTTTTGTTAGTGGATTTTCGTTGCGAGGATTGTTTCTCATATCTCAGCCAGCAATCGTCCACTTTTTACGCCAATGTGGAAAAGCCTGCCGAAGCTATTAAAAAATTATCTCCGGTACTTGAACTTTACGTTCAAGAGGATGGAAGAATGGAATCTCCATTACAGTGTCAACCGGATAAGCTATATATGATATCCTTAGATGAACTCAAAAGTCACATTAATCCAATGAAGAGTTGTGGTAAGTTATTGCATAATTACATTTATCGACATCTTACTCGTTTGTAAACTCGAAACAAGTATAATTGAATAAGTATAGCCTATATGTAGTGATACCGTTTGGTTCGATGTCGACCTTGCAACTAGAAATAGAACCAAACAATTTCATTTACGTATAAAGCTTTCAAGTTCCCATAATTTTGACAAGCTTAAGTCTAAGACACAATCGAAAAAGGGTTTATGAAGAAATCAGTGCCTGAGTTACGTCAGTCCCAGGTGATACAGAGAGAGTTCTCGCGAATTTAGCTACCTTCTTCGTCTCGACAGATTCACCAGAAGTCGTCTGTCGCAAAGCCCATCGCTTCTACGTGTATACCCATTAAGCAATGGCTAGTTCTGATTCCGCCAAATGTACTGAGAAAGACTAAGTAAGTTTTAACAGACAGTTTTCAGAATGGATGCCACCTGGTATTGAATACGTCTACATTCGATAGCTGTTTTAGAGGAAGGTGAACAGCTTTCTAAAGATTTATGTAGTAGCGGGTTGCAGTGCATCACTGACGGATCGGGGTAGTGTTCCTTGATATCCAGTGCCTGGTGCGTGGTCTGATGGGGAACTCATTTCTCTACAACCATAAGGTCAACACGGAGGCTGAATTTCAACAGCCCAAAGATATCCTCCTCATATATAGAGTATCACCGATCTCCCATTGACACCGAGCACTAGTTTTATTCGTCGCTCGTGGACGCTGCGGTGCCTATTGATTGACATGGACTCAGAATACCTTTCAATAAGTCTTTATACACTTCGCTCAGACCTACAGCGACGGATCTCTAGTTAACCACCGTCAGATTGCCGTCCGGATATCTTCGGTCTAGGATTGCCAGAACTAAATGTAGATGGAAGTTTTGGTAGAGGTATCTTCGGGTTTGCTATTCTTTATATCAGCTCCTTTTTATCTTCGTACACAGGTATGCACTCGAACCTCTTGAGGATTTTAGATGCAGCATTGTTGGATTCTAATTTCTTACCTCTCGTTCCGCTTGAGTGTGCATTATAATACTTGTTCTCTTTAGGGATCGTCGTCTTTTGGAATTCCCAATGAGGGTTTATTGCTGAACATTGCAGCCGGTAGGGACGCACCTGTAAAGAACCTAAGGTCATAACTTTCATTGTAGGAAGCGATATTAGAGTTTCTGTTGGAGATACTAACCCCAGCAGCCATCGATGTAGAGGCTTAACAGGTAAGGTCAATAAGTCTTTCAGGGTTTAGTTGCGCGCTACACATCAGCTGTGCACTTTACTCAGTAAGTTTGGTTCGCTGGCGGTGGACGTGACAATTATTTCAACGCCGCCTTCTGAGCAGATTTTTTTTAAGATGCCGAGCAGCCCTTACTTTCCAACAGAGGTGGCACAGACCCGTTCGGGGCTATCACAGGGATACCCGAAGTGGATTTTTTTTTTTCACTGTGTTCATGGCGTTGGCGGAATTGGCGGGAGCCCAGACTGGTTTGAGTTTTAATGTATTCATCTGGTTCTTTGGCCATGTACTGAGCTAGAACCTTTCGGAGACCGAAGAAGGAGAGAAAACAACGGTCGCCCGCACCAGAGCGCCATGCCATAGTAAATTCACCGTTACTCGCGGATAAGGACAGGTATCCGGAAAGCTCTTTGGGAGAAGACCATTGAAAATAAGGACGTTTTTTAGTCATCTTGGGACTAACTGTAACTAACAGTTTAGAAACAAAATGTGTATTTCATATTGGTTTTATTTTTATCATAAAAATTTTATGCATTTTAAATTCGTATTTATGTGCTAAATTTTGGTTTGTGTATGTATGTATGTATTTTAATTCTTGTTTTACAGATGAAGCAATCAAAAATGTGGTCACCACTTCTGTAAATTGTGAAGATGCTGCCTACGTTTTCCTAGGAACTCATGAAGTTTCAACTGAGCGCAGCGGTCGGCTCTATCAAAACGGAAGAATTTCATTTTATTTAACTCAACTGGAAGTAGAGGACTCAACTGGCTTCATACAAGAAATCGAATTTTATGATATGAACATAACCGGAGGAGATCCTAAGCTAACGGTTGAGCTTATAGCCGAAAATTCGACTGCATCGTTACGATTCAATGTAGTTATTAGTAAAGGATATTTTCAGATTGACTCGTTTACATTTAACGATACCACTTATTATGTTTCTGACCTCTATGCACCAATAAGTCATTCGTTTTCTTGTGGAAAAATACTACTTAAAAAGGACAAGAAGAAGCTCATAATTAAAAGAATGCAGATTCAATACGATGTCATACCACATCCCAGTGATTTTAAGTTCAAAGATGCTTGGACATGTGAGGGATTCACCTCCCCTGGCATAATATCTGGACTTTTTGTAACGGCTATTTTTGTTGGCGTTTTGTCACTTGGTATTAGTATGTTGATGAATGTTCAATCACCAACGAAATTTGAAACTCCAGGAGGACCTATATTACACATAAACGTAGTTGAGTAATATATAGTAGAAATGATAAAAAAACTTCAATTAATTCAAAAATATGTTTGTATGTGTTTATGTAAACACATAAATGGCAGACCTAAAAAATAAAACTTCAGTTTTTTATAAACCCTTTTTTTCTAAAACGGTTTCGTGCTTTGGCTATCTATCTATACAGGTATGTATATAAAACACAAATACCGCTTGACTGAACTGACCCAAATTGGGTACACCTACCGCAGGTTTTCCAATGATGATCATAGGTTGAAAATAATTGTTAACCGACTTCCAAAAAGGAGGAGGTTATCAATTCGTCAGAATATTTTTTATCTTTTTGCATCGGAAAGGTAGTGTCTCAGAGGTGGTCCGATACTATTCCAATCGTTTGATTATGAAAAAATTAACGGTACGCCTAAATTTTTATATGAGAACTGAAGTCGGTTTTTTTGCTTAAAAATTACTTGTGATATATCAAATGATCATGGTAGACACAAATTGAAACTTTCAAATTGCATGCATTTCTTTGGAAGTATTTATTGTAGAGTACTAAACCATGGTATGGTTATACAAATGGGCGATTCCAGCGAAAAGTCTACCGCAAAAAAGAAATATCTATCTAACTTATTTATAGACCGATTTGGCTGCTTGTCGGTTAGACTGGAAGTCGGTTAGACTTCCAAAAAGGGGAAGGTTATCAATTCGTCGGAATATTTTTTTTTATGTATATTACCGTATAAATTTGGACCACGTTAACCGATTTTGATAATTTGTTTTTATTGAAAAGGTGTTACCTCAAGGGTGGTCCCGTACTAATTTGGTTCAAATCCGATCATCGGATCATGAAGAAATTAACGATAATCTTGAATTTTTTTATGTGTGAATTGAAGGCCTTTTTGGTTTTTTGCTTAAAAATGACTTGTTCTTTTAACTTAAATTTTTTTTTAAATATGTATATAAAATTTATGAAAAAATACAAGCTTTCCAATGCCGAGTGGCAAAATAACGTGAGGCTCAATTTTAAGGTCATCTCGAGGTCAACATGGTTTTTTAACATGTTTTTTTTTTACTCTTTATCTGGAATTCAGAAAGAACTGAAAATTCTACGATCAGATAACATATCATTGACCGTCAGCATTATATGAAGCGTCAATCTTCCTATTCAATATTTTTTTTCGCCAAATTTACTAATCGTAGATAGTTGTGTAAAGTTGCTGAAAAAAAAAATTGAATAGGAAGATTGACGCTTCAGATGACCCTGACGGTGAAATGACCCCCAGATGTTATCTGAACGTAGAATTTTGCGTTTTTTATAAATTTGAGATTAAAAAAGGGGGTCACGAGTAAAAAAAAAAAAAAGTTGTTGACCTCGAGATGACCTTGAAATTAACCATCACGATATTTTGCCACTCGGCATTGGAAAGCTTGTGTTTTCGAATGAATTTTACATATTAAAAAAAAAAAAATTAAGTTATGCGGTTTTCTTTTATGCGGTTTTTCAATCAATTCTTTCGCTGTAGCGAGTTTGCTGTTTTGAGAGTTTTTGTTACTTTTTTCAGTATTTTTACTGTGGTATTTTTTTTTTTGTTTTGGTTGAAATACAGACAAAATTTTATTTATTTCATTAAGTTCGATTTTACATAGAATAATTTTTTTAATTTTTTTTTTTATTATTATTATTTATTATTAGTATTCATAGTACTTTACATTACATAATATTGTTTCTCTTACTCCTAATAAATTCTACAGATTTTTGCTTAAATGCTATATGTCTCGCCTCGTTTTTTGCTTCCATCGGTAACGCATTAAATAATTTCAAACCTATCTAAAACATCGATTTTTGTGCTTTGTTTATACCTAATTCTAAAATCACAATTGTTTCTTAATTCATATTTTTGTACTTCTCCTACGTACTCAATCCTATCAGTTAAATATAATGGGGCATTTTAATTTTTACTTTTGTAGACTGCCATAAGGGTATTTAACTCGAATCTTTCTTTTATGTTAAGCCATTTTAAGGTCTCTAACATTGAATTAATTGATGTGTATCTACTACATTTCAAAATATGTCTCATGCCCTTATTCTGTAATTTTTGAAGTCTTTCCATTTGTGTTTGGTTGCAGCATGTATGTATGTACATATATGTGATTGTAGAACAAAATTCAAAATGTGGTTTAATCATGACATTATATACTTTTATTGCTGTCATTATGTCTATTTTATTGCGAATCCTTCTAAAGTATTGGTCCCAGAATCGATCCCTGTGGTACTCCTTTTTCAACTTTTCTACTTTCAGATATGCTCCCATAATAAGTGTTGAAGTGAAGAAATAAATTGTTTTTTTTTGCTTAATATTTATTGCCTAACTCAATTTTTTTTGCGGTTTTTTAGAATTTTTTATATGGAGTATCTGAATTTATGCGGGTTTTCGAAATATAGTGCTCTAGACAAGTTTTTCCTATAGGGTTCTTCAGCATGCAGATTTGAATTAATTAAAGAAACACCTACACTCTTGATTTTATATCAGATTTGTAGGAAAATAATGTAAGCGTACGTATGTATATAAGTACTTACTCTGCGCCTTCATATGTATGTATGCAAGTATTTGTTTGTATTCCACCCACAACAACGGTATAACTACTTAATAAACAGCTGAGCGTCTGTATGCGAATGTCTGTTATCAAATTGGCGTTTGCTTTCTCTTCCATTCTGGCGGCAAGTGCAAAAAGCAGTGACATAACTGCTGAAAGGGGGAAAGCCGCTGATATCAAAAAAAAACCAAAGCTCTGAATATGAATTCTTACAAACGATAGCATTAAAAGCGTTCTTGACAATGCCGGCGCACACATGCACACTTAACTCATTGTGAAACTCATCATCTCAGACATTATTATCACCAGAATGATAATCGAGTATATGGGCATTATGTTCATATTAACTCAATTATCAGATATGTACATTTTGGATGTAGTACATAAGCTATACCGGGGAATAAAGCAATGTCCAGTTGTGGAAATCAGTGTGGTTTGGCGTGCCAAACAGACACCAGCTGTAGAACTTTGGATTACTATTACAAGAAATAATAAAAGGATTCATAAATATACAAAAATTTTAATAACTTTAATTGATATAAATTCCTTGTGATAAATTTAAGGTCTTTCCAATCAATAACAAATTTTGTGCTTTTTGTAAAGTGTAAAAGTACTTGCGACTATTCATATATGTCCACTGGACTCTCGAAAAAAAAGAAAAAACAGTAAAAGGCTATTTCGTTGATAAGATTAAAAAATAGGCGATAAAATCCATTAAATAATTGATAATACAGAATATATGTACATACATAAATTTATTGAGTGTGAATTACGCTCATTTCTGCGCTTCTCTGCACATCAATTGAAAAATTTACTTTAAAATTTTTAGTTAATGAGTAACTGTGAACGGTGGACAACGTTTCAGGATATAACGAAAATTTTAATTAACTAAATAATTGAATCGCGACATAACGGAGCACTTAACGGCAATTTAAGGAAGGTGTGATACTATTTAAAATAAAATAAAAATATATCTATGCAATTACATACATATTTAAATGCACATAAACATGCATACTTAGGCATATGGACATACATACATATATAAGTATATACAGGTGTATGCACTATAAGTACATTGGACTGGCTCAAAAACATGGAATAATTTTTTTTAATCCCTTGAGAAACACTTTCGGAGCAGTGAAAAAATACGTCTGTCAAAAGCGCAGCCCTTATATTTAGATAAGGAGGTCGCTCATCGCGAATTTCTATTTTTGATTTAAATAATACAGAAAAAATCGTTTTCAATTTTAAAATTTTATAACTCGTTTTTAAGTCAACGTATTGGAATGAGCGATATATCGTCACCTGAAATGCAAAAAGACACGGACTAATAATTTTTTTTTTTTCATAAAATGATGTGGGAGTTGTGATTCGATGAAATGCATCATATCAATCGAAAACTGAATTTTAATTTTTTATTAGTTACGTCTTTTTGCATTTCAGGTGACGATGTGTATAATTTTAAAATAAATTGAAGGCTGTAAAAAAGTCTGGTATGATAAACTCACTCCTTCGCTATTCAAGGTCAAAGACGAACGTATAAAAAATTTTACGACTTTTTTTAATTTTCTTTAAAACTTATCACAAAATTCAAAATTTTAAATATCAAAGAAAATAACGTATCCCTAAATAACAATTTTAAAATTTCAAATAAAAACTTATTACTAAATAAAAAATAAAAAGTTATAACATTTCCAAAAAAAATGTATCCCTAAATAAGAAATTTAAAATTTTAAGATTAAGAAACATCCAAGAAAAACTTATCGCTAAGTAAAAAATTTTAAAATCCTTCAGAAAAACACTAAAAAAAATTAATAATGAAAAACTATAAAATTTCTAAAGAATAAATAAAAAACACGTCCATAAATAAAAAATTACAATATTCCCAAGAAAAAGTTATTACTGAACAAACTTATCAGTAAAAAAAATTTTATCCCAAGAAAAATTCATCACTAAATAAAAAACTAAAAATTATAAAATTTCCTAGTAAAGCTTATCACTAAATAAAAATTTGTAAGTTATAAAATGCCCAAGAAAAACTACGATATTTAGTGCACCGTTAACATTTTGCCGAAAATTAAGAAAACTTGAATTTTATTACATACATTGATGTTCGACTTTAACCTTTAGTGAAAAAAAAATTATGGATAAGTCATAAGAGACTTTTTACAGCCTTCAGTTACCTTAAAAAATATATATATGTATACAGTCTCAAAACGGAACCAGAAGTTTTCCATGCAATAATAATTCACAAGTGATTTTGAAACAAAAATTAATTTTTTTTTTAACCAGTCTAATGTACATCAAATGTATCGAACCTTCGTTTAATGTAAGCTGGAAAATATTATATGAAATAATGGAATTAATTTAATGAAGTTAATTTAGTCAATGATGAAGTAAGTGAGTGCAAAATAAACACAAAAAGTCTTAATGCACATAAAATAAAGAACAATG